GAGGGCACTGCTGCAGTGCCGCTGGCCGCTGGCGCCAAGAGCGCTGACCCTGGGCCCCTTCGGGGGATGACTGCCCGCCCATCTGGCCATCGCTCGGACGTCCATTCCCTGTGTTTTTTTTCGGTTTCGTGCGCGGCTTCTTCGCCGAAAGATCAAGGATGCTCCTCGATGGTCCACGCCGAAGGAAAAATGCACACGTCCGAGCGATGCCAAGCCATGGGCCGTTGCGACGGGCTTGGAGGGCAGCGCGGCGCCCGAGCGGCTCCTCGCCTCGGACGAGCAGGACGGCGAGACCAGCGTGGTGGACATGGTCCGCGGCATGCGTGCGGAGATCGGGGCGGCGAAGATAGCCGACGCCGAGCGAGAAAAAAAGAGTCGGCGGCGACGGAGGCACTGCGGCTCGTGCAGGGCGGCCATTATAGTACCGCCCGTGACGGAGGTAGAAGAGGAGCTGCTACAAGGTCGTCGGCTTCCACAAACACGGCCCAACCTGCCCCAGGGGTGGCTGCAGGGGGCCAATCCCAGGAATCTCGCCGCCAACTGACGCGCTGTGCAAGCAGCAATGACGGGGAGTGTCGCTGGCTGTCCTCCGAGTGCATGGTGCGGGTCGCCTACTGGTTCCTCGTCTGCTCGGAGGAGGGCTGCGTTCGTGTGTTTGATTTCGCTTCGCGATCGGTCTTATCGTATTGTCTGTCGCACGTCGTTCGTCCGTCAGGCGTGTCGACTGTCTGACCTCTGCCGCTGGGCTCCTCTTCGCTGACTAAGAAACATAGCTTCAAACGGGCGCGCGAGTCGAAACCCGTCACTCCGAGAGCCTGGTCAGGTCGTTCCTGGTCAGGTCGTTCAACGATGCCCATTCGGAAGAAGAGCCCAAATCTTGCTAACGTGGATGTCGGTATCAGTAACTACTTCTGGTTGGAATGTAATTCCCTGATGGGGAGACTTAGATCACTAGGAGAAGTAATGGAATCCTGTAGCTGTTCATCCCTCCTCCTCTCTACGCTTTCATACTCCGATACTGTCCTCCTTCTTACTCGTATCAGCTCCATCGACAATTCGCCGGCCCAACGGGCCAGAGGCGTGCTAAGATCTCCGGTAACTGGTTAAGAATTCTCTAGTTCGCGCGCGCGGGGCGGCCCCTGGGGGTCCCCGGACGAAAAGTACCCCGGCAAGGTCCTGAGAGAGTCCCGGGAGGAGTCCCCCAGAGCGCTCCAGGAGCGCTCCATGAGCGCACCAACAGGGCTCCGAGACGTCCCCGAGAGCCCCAAGAAAGGCCAAGAGGCCCCCAAGAGGCCCCCAAGATGGTACACGAGGGGTCCGACATGCCACAAGATCGCTCCAAGACGCCCAAGATAGCCCCCAGACGCCCCAAGAGGCCTCCCAGAGCACTCCCAAGAGGGCCCCCGGAGGCAAAATTCATTGTTTTTCCTTAGGTTTTTGAAAGATTTTGGAGCTTCCACCTTTTCGGTTCCCGACGCCCCAAGACGGCCCCAGAGGCCCCCAAGATCGCCCCAAGAGGGCCCAAGAGGCCCCCAAGAGGGCCCCAAGATGGCCCAAGAGGGCTCGAAGACGGCCCAAGAAGCCTCCAAGACGGTCCAAGAGGGCCCCAAGAACACCCCCAAAGGGGCCCCAGAGAGGGAACACGAAACAAAATTTCGCGCCCTCGGCCCTAAGAAGCCCCTACGAGGCCCCAAGAGGCCCCTAAGAGGCCCCAAGAGGCCCCCACGAGGCCCTCAGGAGGCCCCCAAGAGTCCCCCAAGCGGCCCCAGGAGGCCCCCCAAATGCCCCCCCGAGCGCCCCAGGAGTCCCCCAAGCGGCCCCAGGAACCCCCAAAGCGCCGCATTGACACCAGGCCCTCGGGCAAACGGCAGACATGAGACCGTATGGGCCGGCGGAATGAGCGAAGCGATTCAATAATCATGATTCATCCTCGTCCACCCTCCTCCATCTCCTACCCCATCATCCCGTCACCCTTCTTCCAAATCCGCACCCTTCCTCAAATTTCCCGCTCACCGTCCAGTGGTGTTGGGTTATCGTGTTGAACAGGCAGCGCCCCGCGTCATCCTCCTCCTCCTCCTCCTCCTCTTCCTCCTCCTCCTCTTCCTCCTCCTCCTCCTCCTCCCCCTCCTCCCCCCTTCCTCCTCTCTTCCCTAATCATCACCATCGTCATCACCATCATCATCAGCATCATCCTCATCAGCAGCAGCATCATTATCATCATCAGCAGCATCAGCAGCATCAGCACCATTATCACTACCATCATGTTCATCATTCGCATCAGCATCATCGCCATCATCATCATCATCATCATCATCATCATCATCACCAGCATCATCATCATCATCATCATCATCATCATCATCATCATCATCATCATCATCATCATCATCATCATCGTCATCGTCATCGTCATCAGCATCATCACCATACCCCTCTGCATCATCAGCATCAACATCGGCATCAGCATCAACAGCAGCGTGATCACAATCGGCATCCTCTTCGGCATCGTCATGATCAGCATCATCGATAACAGCATCATAAGCATCATAACCATCGTCATCAGCATCATCATGGTCGTCATCAGCATCATCATCACCAGCAGCAACATCATCAACAGTATCATCATCGACATCCTCGTCAGTATCGTCAACACCACCAGCATCGTCATATCGACGGTATCGTTAACATCGTCGCCACTCATGCCATCACAACCCTCACGAGTTTCGTGGCCCCAAAGGGAGATTCACCGAAGGCACCAGTAGAGGTGTTCGCATGCGCCCCCCCCCCCCCACCCAGTGCAGCTCTACGTTGCCAAATGGGGAGCTCCACTGAACGACACAGGGACAGTGTTTGAATGCGTCTGCCCCCACCCAATACAGAGCGTCGTGGCCCCATAGAGAGCTCCACCGAAAGGCTCAATTGCGGTGGTCGCATGCGTCTGCCCCGCTCGGTACACCGCTTCGCGGCCCCAGAGCGAGCTCCACCGACGGCCCCAGTGGCGGTGTTCGCTTGCGTCTCCCACACCCAGTACAACGCTCCGTTGCCCCATAGGGTGCTCCACCGAAGGCCTCAGGAGCGGTGTTCGGATGCGTCTGTTCCACCCGATCAACGATGTGGCCCCATATGGATCTCCGCCGACGGCCCCAATGGCGGTGTTCGCATGCGTCTCCCCCGCCAGGTACAGCGCATCGTGGCCCCTTAGGGGGCTCGACCGAAGGCCCACATGGCGGTGTTCGCGTGCATCTGCCCCGCCGAACATCGGGAGCCCCACCGAAGGCCCCAACTGCGGTGTTCGCATGCGTCCCCCCCACCCCACCCAGTACAACGCTCCGTGACCACATAAGGAGCTCCACCGAAGGGCCCCAATGTTGGTGCTCGCATGTGTTCTCTCCATTCAGTGCGCCGTTTCGTTGCTCCATCGCTATCTCCACCGAAGGCCCCAGAGGCGGTGTTCGCATGCGCCCCCCGCCCAGCACAGCGCTTCGTGGCCCCACGGAAAGCTCCACCGAAGGCCCTACTGGCGGTGTTCGCATGCGCATGCCCCACCCAGTACAGCGCCTGGTGGCTTCGAAGAGAGCTCCACCGAAGGCCCCAATGGCAGTGTTCGCATACGCCTACCCCGCCAAACAGCGCTTCGTGGCCCCATCTGGGTCTCCACCGAAGGCCCCAGTGGCGGTGTTCGCATGCGTGTGCCACACCAAATGCTGTTTTTCGTAGCCCAATATGGACTTCCACCGAAGGCCCCAGTGGCGGTGTTCACATGCGTCCCCCCAACCCAGTAAAACGCTTCTTGGAGTCATAGGGAGCTCCACCGAAGGCCCCAGTGGCGGTGTTCGCATGCGTCTCCCACACCCAGTACAACGCTCCGTTGCCCCAGAGGGTGCTCCACCAAAGGCCCCAATGGCGGCGTTCGCATGCGTCTGCCTCGCCCAGTACAAAGCTTCGTGGCCCCTCAGGGGGCTCGACCGAAGGTCCACATGGCGGTGTTCGCATGCGGTTCCCCCACACAGAACAAGGCTTCGTGGCCTCATAGGACGCTCCACCGAAATCCCCAGTGGCGGGGTTCGCATGCGCCTGCCCCAACCAGCGCAACGCCTCGTGGCCATAGGGAGCTCCACCGAAGGCCCCAGTGGCCGTGTTTGCATGCGTCTGCCCCACCCAGTACAACGCTTTGCCGCCCCATAGGGTGCCCCACCGAAGTCCCCAGTGGAAGTGTTTTGCATGCGCCCCCCCCACCGAGTACAGCGCGTCGTGGCTTCATGGGCAGCTCCACCGAAGGCCCTAGTTGCGGTATATGCATGCGCCTGCCCCACCGTGTACAGCGCTTTGTGGCCTCATAGGGAGCTCCACCGAAGGCCCAAATGGCGGTGTTCGCATGCGCCTGCCCCACATTGTACAGCGCTTCGTGGCCACATAGGGAGCTCTAACGAAGGCCCCGGTGGTGGTGTTCTCATGCGTCTCCCTCACTCAGTACAGCGCTTCGTGGCCCCAGAGGGAGCTCCTCAGAAGGCCCCAGTGGCGGTGTTCCCATGCGCCTCCCCCACCCAATACAACGCTTCGTGGCCCCATAGGGAGCTCCACCGAAGGCCCCAGTGGCGGCGCACTCCTCACACGTTCCGCGGCACCACAATGGCTTCGGCACAAAATTCGCATACTACATGGCCCCATGACCCAACAAAAAACCCGAAGGCGATGCCCGGAACGACGGTACCCACAACTGCATATGGTTGTGCCCTTCGCACTCCTCTTCATCCTTCCTCCTCAATTTTCTCACCCTTCTTGCTCCTCCCGCATCTCGTCCTCCAAACTCGCCATCATCCACCGCCCGCTCCGCCAACGTCTTTGTCGTACAAGCCGCCAACGTCGTCACCTCG